AATGGGAAGAGGAGACAGTTCACAGCGAGGACGCCCAACAAGCCGATGTGATGCTCGAGATGGCCTCAAATGAACCTCGAGTAGTAGGTCCTGGTGCTTTTATTGAAGGCGAAGAGCAGACCGGCGCCGATGACGAGGCCCAGCAGGAGGAGACAGAAGATGAGGAAGAAGGCACCGACTGTGTGGAAAATGCAAAACAAAAGTACAGGGTGACTCGAAGAAGAATGAGGCTGAGTCGGACTCTGCGCTAGCCCGACGAGTATCCGGCCGCAGAAACGATCGTTTTGTAGACCTTGGTCGTCAGGGCCAGATGGGCACTGATCGTCTCGGCGTGGAAAGACGACCTGCGTCTTTCGACTGTGCTCCGCGAGTCTGCCCATTGGCTCCAGACCAGTTGAGCAGAGTTGGGAGCACATTTGCGTCTGTCTTGTTCTTTCTTTGTGACTACACTGGGCCAGTGTATACTTTTCTTCATTTTTCGCATTTAAGTATTGTTTCGAGACTATCAGTAAATCAGTAGTATGAAATGTATTTACACAATTTCGGTTAAGGTGATGAAAGACTGGTTGAAGAATTTTCCCACAATCAGATGAGTAGAGCTGACGTTTCCATTCAATTTCACATGGTTTTGTTTTCCCAATAGTTGTTCTTTTCCCAGTTGGAATGGACTTATTTCTCGACCTCGCATCGGTCTTATTAACTTAAATGCGAAAAATAAAGTAACGTAGTCGATTATTATAGCAAAAATACGTTTGCTTCATCGAGAATCCCTCATTGAAATTCAATGAAAATGTCGGCTCTACTCACATCATTGTGGGAAAATTCTTCTACCAGTCCTACATCACCTTAACCGAAATTGGGTGAATACAACTCATACTACTGATTTACTCATAGTCTAGAAACAATACTTAAATGCGAAAAATAAAGTAAGTAGTCGATTGTTATATCAAAAATACGTTTGATTCATCGGCAATCCCTCATTGAAATTCAATAAAAATGTCGGCTCTACTCACATCATTGTGGGAAAATTCTTCTACTAGTCCTACATCACCTTAACCGAAATTGGGTGAATAAATCTCATACTACTTATTTACTGATAGTCTAGAAACAATACTTAAATGCCAAAAATAAAGTAAGTAGCCGATTGTTATATCAAAAATACGTTTGATTCATCGACAAACCTTCATGGAAATGCAATGAAAACGTCAGCTCTACTCACATAATTGTGGGAAAATTCTTCTACCAGTCCTACATCACCTTAACCGAAATTGGGTGAATACATCTCATACTACTTTTCTTCGTCATGTATGCATGTTTTACCAAATAATTTTTGGCATATGCATTGCTTATGGCTATTTGTGTACATGTATGTGTATTTGCGAGTGTAGGTGGGCGTGTGATTGGTAATGTGGTAATCGGTTGCAATTGATAGGCAGTTTCTATTTATCTGTTTGGGTTTTCGTTAGTTTTTCCAAGGACTTTAGAGTTTTGTGGTTTTTTCAAATGTGCCTGTACAGAATTGTCACTTTTTGTGAACATTCCAAGCTTAAGTTTTGGGTTAATTTAACCAGCAATAGGACAAAATGGGGTTTAGTTCCCATTCAGCAAGACTTTCAGAGACGAATTGAATTGAATCGTGGCTGAACTAGCTTAACTCTTGTATTCGCAAGATCGGCTGGCTGCTTCGGCAGCTCTTCTGTCATTCATCTTTCAGCAAGCCAATTCAATTGAATGGCTCGATTGTTTAACTCATGTCTATCTCGAGTAAAATAATGCAATGAGAAGATGCGTGGTAGGATTCCACACAAATTTGGGCTGACAGGTCGAAAAAACCCTTGCTACAGAAAAATTATGTTGAACAAACGATGCACTTTTTGGAGAAATTGTCAGCTTAAATAAGTAGTAAGAGTGGTACTCTGCTTTGAAGATGTCCATCAAATGGCAAGGCAGACATCGGTTCTGTACTTTTTCACCGGAACCGACTGAGACCAAATCGAGAACAGCTTGGCAACAGCTGACTGGTTGGAATGAGCCACGTGAATGTCACAATCTGACAACTATTGCCTAGCAATGAAGAAGAGCTCAACAAAAGACAGTTTTTTTCATGCGAATGCAGCTTGAATGGAGAGGAAAGTCGAGAGGTTTGCGCTGTGTCACAGAATTCGGCAATCCGTCCTCACACAGGACGTTAGAACCGCTGTACAACTTGTACCAGTTTTCGAATCGTATTGCTGCTGTTGATGGATGCGTGCTTGCGGGAGAACAGAGAATAAGGTTTAGCATTTTGATGGAAATTGTGAGATTTTCCATTTGTTTCACAACACAGGCGTACATGAAACATTGAAAAGCATAAATCATGAAAAAGACTCTTGCCTGAATTGATTCCACTTCCATTTCCGGAGGAGGCATATGCTCTTGCATCGTAACGAGTCCCATCGGGATTACTTACACCTGAATGAAGAAGAGATAAAAATATGGGAAGCATAACTCGTAGAAATGACGTCAGAGGGTTTGGCTTATGGTTGGGTCACTTTCGCTTGTCTTTTGTTCGACTTGCTTTGACCTCGTTTGCACAATTTTGCAGATATTTTTTTGGGGAAAACTTAAAAGAGCGTAATTATTGTCATCTCTCTTTCCAGCCTCGGATCGGCATCGGTGGAACGCTTGCAAAGCCATCCAGTCGGCCGTCCGATGCTGAAAGAAGACATGCCAATAAAGACGGAGGTCGCAGTGCGGCTGGTGAGCGCTTTTGAAGTCTTTTTTGAAAAAAAAGGTTCAATGAAGTCGTACCAAATCATGAGGAGTTTCAACTAAACTATCCACTTATTCAGTCCTAAACAATTCCCAT